CCAGCTCTGACATTCCCTGTTCTAAGGCCCCTCCCAGCTCTGACATCCCCTGTTCTAAGGCCCCTCCCAGCTCTGACATTCCCTGTTCTAAGCCCCCCTGCCTCCCACCCCAGCTTTGCCTGGCCTGTGACTGTGCATGGCTGTCTCCTCTACCAGCTGCGCTCTCCCTCTGGGTAGGAAGAGCTGCTCTGAGCACAGGCCTGGGTCCCCTCATCTGCACCATCACCCCTGCAGCTGCCCCCTCACCTCTGCAATAACCTCCGCCAGACCCGGGTTACATAGCACTAGCCAGCGTCGCGGTGTGATCCCATTGGTTTTGTTCTGGAACTTGTGGGGTTCAAATTCATAGAAATCCTTAAAGCTGCAGAGACCAGGAGGGGAGAAGGAAAAGGGCGTGCTAGCCCCAGAAGGAAAGGGGCTCCTCGGAGGTCACAGGCCAAGTCAGTGGCAGAGCCAGGCTTGAGGCTGACCACCAGGCCCGGGCACCCACCGGCCTCGCGGAGGATGCGGGAGCAATGGCGCCTGTCCTAGAGGGTGGGAGGCCCAGTGGCTTGGATGCCATCCTCACGGGTCGGGGTCCGGGCCCATGGAGGTTGGGGGCTGGGAGCCAGAGGGGCAGGGGGGGCTCACATGGTTTTCTTGAGGATCTCGGAGTGGATCCAGGCGACCCCGTTGACCGCGTGGGAGCCGGCGATGCACAGATGGGCCATGTTGATCCTCTTTATGGCGCCTTCCTCCACCAGCGACATGCGCCGCAGCCGGTCCATGTCTCCTGGGTATGCTGCTGCCACCCGCTGCCAAGGGACACAAGCACTCAGGCCAGCCTGCACGGTGAGCCCCGGGCCCCGTGGGGCCCTCCCCTGCCCACGCTGAGCCTCCCGCAGTGCTCACGTTGAGAAACCTCTGGTTGATTTCATAGATAATCTGGAGGTGCCGGGGCAGCAGGGTCTCCATCAGGTGGACGGGCCAGCGCTCCAGGGCCTCGGGCAGCACGGTGTGGTTGGTATAGGCGCAGGTCCTCACCGTCACGTCCCAGGCCTGGGGAAGGGCCGAGGACAGCGTCATCCCCCCAAGCCGCAGCACCCAGGGCTGGGGCCGGGGCCGGGGGGGGTGGGGATTGGAAGGGGCCCGGTGTATCCTGACTCTTTGCCGCATGGGCCTCTGGCCACAAACGGAGCCTCCTCCTCCGACCCGAGCACTTCTATCCGTGGGTAAATAGACAGAAGGCCAGCAAGAGCCTCGGGGAGGGGTCCCGTGCCCTCCATCAACCCTGTTACCTTGTCCCACTCCAGTTTCTCCAGGTCCACCAGAACCCGCATCAGCTCGGGGATGGCCAAGGATGGGTGAGTGTCGTTCAGCTGGATGGCCACCTGGACCAAATGCCAAGAGCAGGGAGAGTCAGCCCTGATCCCCCTCACTGCCGACTCATTCAGCACTTAGTAAGCACCATGCGTGTGTAAGTGCCAAGCTGGTCAGAAATGAGATGAGCCCGTCCTGAGGGCGATTTCCTTCTGCTCGGCAGGCACACAGATGTGTTTATACAGGTGAGAGAGGCCCATAGGAGGCCGAGCGTGCCCTGAAGGGAGCTGGGGATTTGACACAGCCCGGGAGGAAGAAGTACATTCCAGACTTAGGAACCACACAGACGGGAGAAGGGGTGTAGCTGGGGCACATCCTCCCCTGGACCCAGGCAAAGACCCTCCACTCCCTGCCCACCCCCAGACTTCCTCCAACCACTGCTGGTAGAGTCCACTGGGGCGGGTCTGAATATCTGGGGTGGGGGCTCTACCTTGTCTGGGAACGCATCAAAGCTGGTGCGCACGGGGTCCCGGCAGCCAAACTTGGAGGATTTGAAGCGGCGGATGATGTCCTGAAGGGTAGCTGCTACCACAAAGTATTCTTGCTTTAGCCGAAGCTCCTTCCCTTCAAAGAACTGGGGGAATAGGGAGGAAGGGTCAGTGGAGCCAGGGATGGAGGGGGGTGGGGGAAGAGGGGAAGGGTCAGTGGAGCCGGGGATGGAGGGGGGAGGGGGGAGAGGGGAAGGGTCGGTGGAGACAGGGATGGAGCGGGGAGGGGGGACAGGGGAAGGGTCAGTGGACCAGGGGTGGAGTGGGGCTCAGGCATTAGGAGCACCTCTGGGGAAGAGAGGAAGGATGTGGCAGCACTCTGGAGCTGCTCTCCCAAGCAGGATGGGGGGCGCTGGAGTCCTCTCCCCTTCCTGAGCTAAGCCTTTCCGTAACTCAGTTTTCCCATTCCTCGAGGACCCAGTGTCCCAGCACCCCACTCCTGCCTAGTCTCCAGTGCTCTGGCCCCAGAACTCTGCTAGCCAAGACCACGGGCTGGGTTCATCCTCCTCTTTTCCTTCTACCCATTTCCCGCCGCCACCATCTCCAGCTCTGGGAGGGGCTGTGGGACACGGTGGGACACGGTGGGACACGGCGCTCACCAGCAGTGGCAGCACTCACATTGTCATTGGGGTACAGGACCCGGGAGATGTTCTCAGCCAGGTTCCGGTCCAACACAGCCTGGATGTATCCGCCGACGTTGACTGTAGGAAGCATGGGGGGATGGAAATGGTCAGTTATTCAACCAGAGGAACCCCCCTTTCCCCAACCCCCCCCCACCTTCCTGGGGCTGTCTTTGTGACCACGCTTGCGGGGGTCTGCGTCAGAGGCATGAGACAGACCCAGCACCAGAGTCCAGAGCTGGTTGGCCCATCCCTCCTGGGCCTGGCCCCATTTCCCAACCCTGTGAGGCGTCACACTTGGTGGTCCACAGGCCATTAGGAAACCGGGTGGGAGGGGAGCAGCAGGGGAGAGCGCTGGGAAGGTGTGGCAATCCTCAGAGGAGGAAGAAGAGCTGGGAGGAGGCCCGCGGGCAAACTCACAATCTTTGAGGTTGAAGTCGTTGGGGGCTTTGGCAGACCACAAGCGCATTGTGTTCACGGTGTTGTTACGATAGCCAGGCACTGGGGTGTCATAGGGCATGGCCAGAACCACCTAGAGGCGGGAGAGTGTGTCAGGGGGCCCCCAGGGCCCAGGCAAAACTCCATCTGCACACAGATGTTATCCCCATGAGCCCAGATAACCCCACGACCGGGGCGCAGGACCCATGGGTCCTGGTCCTGACTCTGCCGCTAATTCACTATGTCTAAGATAGAACACATCTCCTACCAGGGCTCCTTTTCTTCATCTGAAAAATGAGGGCGCTGCTTTAAACAATCTTGAAGGTCCTTCCTTCCTCTGACATTCCACGTTCTATGCTCTGGGGCCCCTCCCGCCTCTGACATTCCACGTTCTATGCTCTGGGGTCCCTCCCGCCTCTGACGTTCCACGTTCTATGTTCCGAGGTCCCTCCGGCCTCTGACGTTCCACGTTCTATGTTCTGAGGTCCTTCCTATCTCTGACATTCCACATTCTATGCTCTGAGGTCCCTCTCACCCCTAACATTCCATGTTCTAATGTTCTAAAATCCCACCTACCTCTGACATTCCATGACATTTCATGTTCTAGCTTCCAAGCCTCCTCCCAGCTTGTAGCTCCCATGTTCTAAGTTCTAAGGTTCCCCCCTAGCTCTGACACACTTCTGAGTCATTTCCCATCTCAGGGCCTCAGTTGGCCTTCCTATAAAATGCTGATGACAACATCTGGTGTTTTAAGTGCCTTACTCACTGTGGGACCCCTGGTAAACTTCCTTCTGAAACTTCAGGGTCTGAACCTCCACACCCTGTGGCTCACCACCCACCCCCATGCCCCACCTCCAGAGCACCCTGAGCTCTGTGGAGGTCTGATGAGATCAGAGACTGTGATGTTGCTAATTCAGTATTTTACAGAGCAGGCAGCTGGCCTGGGATCCAGCAGGAGCTGGGTTCTAATCCCTCCTCTGACACCTTCTGGCTGCGTGACCCTGAGCAAGTCACTTAACCTCTCCCAAGAGGCTCCAGACAATTCACAAAGCCTGTAAGTTGGTAGAGGGGGTGCAGACCTAAATTGGTGGAGGGAGTTTCTTCATCAGGGAATTCCCTAGACCAAGGCAGTCATAGGTTCAGTTCCTCTCTCTCCTGATCCAGAAGCCATTAACAATCAATCCCTATTCGTGGGTGATCAATAGCCAATTACATTAGTCGTGAGCATCTCTGGAGGCTGAAAGCGGCCATGAGCCAGGCTTTGTCATGGGCCACTAATCAGCCCATCATAGATCCTGGAAGTGCACTCACATGAGTCGGGGCTGACAGGCAGGTGCAGGCAGGCGCCCTCCCCAGAATGCCCTGGGGCTGACAGGGGAGTGGGATGGAGGGGTGCAGGCTGGAGCCCTCCCCAGAATGCCCCGGGGCTGACAGGGGAGTGGGATGGAGGGGTACAGGCTGGAGCCCTCCCCAGAATGCCCCGGGGCTGACAGGGGGAGTGGGATGGAGGGGTGCAGGCTGGAGCCCTCCCCAGAATGCCCTGAGCCTGACAGGGAAGTGGGATGGAGGGGTGCAGGCAGGAGCCCTCCCCAGAATGCCCGGGGGCCGACAGGGGAGTGGGATGGAGAGGTGCAGGCAGGAGCCCTCCCCAGAATGCCCTGGGGCTGACAGGGGAGTGGGATGGAGGGGTGCAGGCTGGAGCCCTCCCCAGAGTGCCCTGGGGCCAACAGGGGAGTGGGATGGGAAGTGGGATAGAGGGGTGCTAGGCCCCAGAGGGCTCTCGCTCACAGGTCACTATGAGATGACCACAAGAGGCAGTGTCATCTCAATCAAAGGAGGTAGACAGCAGGTGTGAAATGAATAGCAGACACCTGGCCAGACTAGCCCCACCTCTGCCTCATCGGAGCACTGACCGGGAGCTTTTTACAGAGGAAGCTGAGCCTCCGTGGGGTGAGTAACTTGCCCAGGGCCCCACAGGCAGAAAGTGAACTCACTGGGGCTGGCAGCCAGGCCTCTTTCTCCCTAGACTGGCGGAGAGGCTTCAAAGGGACCTGACAGCCAGCAAGCCCTAAGTTCGAGCCCCACTCTGATCCATTCTGTGTGATCCTGGGCCAGTCACTTAACCTCTTAGGGCCCCTGGTGAGTTTCTAAGTCTATCAGTCTCTAAGAGCAGGGGCTGATCTCCCTTACGTGGCTTCCCCACTAACAGAATCATGGGTCAAGTTTGAAAAAAAAGAGAAAAAGAAAAAGAAAAACAAGCTCTCTGGGCCTCAGTTTTCCCCTCTGTACAATGAGACAGTTGGATGGTCCTTCCCAGCTCTGACATTCCATGATTTCTCCATCTTGCAACTTCTCCATTCAGAGAGGAGGTAGACAGAGCTCTGGGCTGGGGTCAGCAGGACCCCAGTGTCCTACTCTACAGGGTTATCCCCAAAGTCCTATCACGCTTTTAGCTGTACTAGCTCTGGGGTCACCGCACATCTCTCTTATGCGAATCTATTTGTTTACGTGCAGGGACCGTCTTTTGACTTTCTTGGCATCCCCAGTGCTTAGCTGGCATACAGTAGGCACTTAATACATGCTTGTTGACTGACTGACCCTAGACAAATGATTGGACGTCTCTTAGTCTCAGCTTCCTCATCTGCAAAATGGGGGTAATAATAACCCCTCCCCCCCAGGCTTATGGTGAGGGTCCAATGTGAGACAGATGAGGTCTGTAAAGGCTTTTACACACTGGACATGCTCCCAACGAACAAGGTTTTAGGGGGCCCAGGAATGTCCCCATTATTCTTGGACAGTGTGCAGGACCACAGAGGCTGGCACAGAGCTTGACCTCTTGTTGATATTTGTTTCCCCTTTGTGTGTGGGTGTGTCCAGGGGCCCCCAGGCCAGGCCGGCGAAGCCAGGATTGTTTTTAAATACGTACAATAAGATAGGGTTACAAAGGACTTCAAGCCTCCCAGAAGACAGTGGTCATAAGTCCTTCAACTGCCCGGGGTAAGATCTCCTAGCACAGCCTTCAAGGTCCCTTCCTCCCCAGGCCTCAGCTGTGATGGTGCCTGGCGGTTGCAGGCTACCAGCTCTGGGACAAAAGGTCTCCTCTTTCTGGGAATCCCAAAGGTGGAGAGAGGGAGACCATGAGCCATACCCAGAACCAAAAAGCCAGAGCAAGAAGGGACTCAAAGGTCATCTCAGTCTTACTGTACAGATGGGGAAACTGAGGCCCTAGGAAGGGAGGGGACTTGCCCAGGGTCATACAGACAAGTAAGCAAGAGACCAGGTTCTCTGACCCCAAATCCATGTTCTTTCTCCTGCCCCCCGACGTCCCCCTGCTCAGGACCTGGTGCCCGCAGGGGGCTGGGGAAGCCCAGCTAGTTATGATCAATTCTCCAAGCCCCTGACGAATGAGCCGTAGACAGGCGCTAACCAGCACTTACACCCGGCAGTTAATAAGAAAGGATGGAATCGTCAATACCTAATAGGCCGCCTGTTTAGGACACCGGGGCCTCCCCGTGGGCAAACGGGGATTCCTGACGATCCATTAATACCTAATAGACCGGGAGCCATCCCTACCAACCCGAAGCCAGGCCTTAGCGACGACGTCTTTGCTCAACAGCAGCCTTCTCTGAGAATCAGCTCCTAATCCCCAGCTAGGAGAAGATGCTGCTTGCCAGCTGACCAGTGAGGCACAGCCTTTTCAGAAATACCGACCGGTCTGTGCGTGGAGCACCTCATTCTCGCCCCTGCCACTGGTCCCGCTCCTGGAGCTCTGGCTTCCTACGTATTTGTACCCATTGCAATGGGAGGTACAATGGAGGGATGGACATTCCAGAAAAGAAGATTTCCATGTGATAGAAGGAAAAACTTATCACAGATTTGGAGCCAGAAGGGCCCTTAGCGGTCATCACATCCAACCCTTTCATTTTACAGAGAGGGAAACTGAGGCACAAAGGAGGAAGTCACACAGCTACTTTCAGAGGAGGGATCTGAACTCGGGTCTTCTAGACTCCAAATCCAGCACGAATTAGACCAATCCCAACTCTCTGGAAAGGGCAAGGTTGAGGAATATATTCGGAAGTGAAAGGTGATACAAAAACAAAACAGTTTTTTGGTTTTTTTTAAACCCAAGGGGGATGGGTTGCCTTGGGAGCTAGTGAGTTCCCTGTCACTGGAAGTCTTCAAGCTGCAGAAGGCATCCTTGGTCTAATATGGAGTGGTTTAAAAGGCTTAAAAACTCAGGTCGACCCAATGACAAACCCAAGTCCGGAGAATAACATTTGCTATGTTTTGGCTGTAGCCAAAGTGGCAATTTGCTTGGTTTAATTACACATTTTTCCTTTTCTTTTCTCTAGTCAGTGGGGAGGGGGTGGGGAGAGATAGGTTTTTGTTAACAGGGAAAGAAATTATAGTTTAAAAAGTTATTATTAAAATGATTATTAGTTCAATGATAGATCTGGGTGCTTCATCATTAAAAAAGAAGAAAAGGCCTGGGCTGGGGGGGTGGGGTGGCCTTTGAGCCCCTCTCCTCCATCTCTACATTTCAGATGTCCCAGGCGGTGTCAGTCTGTTCTGGCCCTGGTTTCTAGCCCCCGGGGCTTACCTGGGTATCCACCCACTTGGCCCCCTGGTTGGTGTGCTCCACGTGGCCGTAGAAATGGACGGGCAATGTGAACTCCGGCCGGGCCTTCTCCCAAGGATTGCCGTAGCGAAGCCAGTCGTCCGCCTCCTCCATCTGGGCCAGACACGGGGTGGGACAGAGCCCCCAAGGAAGGAGGTCAGGGGATGGTGATGGGATTCTGGCCCTCAGCCCTTCTGGGAGTCGTCTCCCTCGACCGAAGGGCTGAGCCCTTCCTGCCAAAGCTGGAGGGCTTGGGAGGGCTGGGAGTGAAGGGGGTGGCCCAGATGGGGTGGGGAGACACCAGGCCAGAGCAGGTGATGTTTGTGAACCCCGGGCTCGGGAGTCCATATGGGGAGGGCTCTCACCTGCCAGCCCCCATTGATCTTCTGGTTGAAAATCCCAAACTCGTACCGAATCCCGTAGCCATAGGCAGCCAGGCCCAGGGTGGCCATGGAGTCCAGGAAGCAGGCTGGAAGAGAGCCACAGCCTTGGGGGAAGCTCGGGACAGGGAGAGCCCCCCCACCCCAGCTCCAGGCTTGCCCCGCCCCCAGAGCCTGCCCCCCGTCTAGGTCCTGCTGCTCACTCACCAGCCAGGCGTCCCAGGCCGCCATTGCCCAGGCCTGCGTCTTCTTCTATCTCCTCCAGTTCTTCCATGTCCAAGCCCAGCTGGACGAGACCGAAGGGGAGGAAACAAAGGGGAGGAGAAAATTAGGATGGGGAGCATCAAAGGCATCCCCTGCCCTGAGAGCATGCCAGGCATCAGACCCAGGGCATTCCCTCAGCCCCCGGGTGTCTGTCCCCTCTGCTCCC